GGGAGTTATTTTATAAAAGATATGTAGTTGCATATTACAAATTTAATATTTTTTGTTAAAAGCAACTATGTATTTTCATTGCACCAGTGGATTAGTCTCATAATTCTGTACATAAAAGTGTTAACGTACAGTTATTAAAATGTGACCTTAAAAAATTAATCCGCATACGCATATGATGCTGCTGGAGTCACCATATTCGAAATAGCTCCTATCTTTAATCCTTCGTAACATGGCTAAAAAGTAAGGTATTGAAATAAAAAAATGCATTTTAGAGGGGATGAACATTCATGACTTCTGATCGAAATTTCAAGATAACGTTAATCTTTTTTTTTTTTATAAAAAAATGTCAAATATCGCCAAAAAAATAATTTTTTACGTATTTAACCTTAATTACCTTGGAAATCTGACGTGCATTGTTTTCAGCATCCAAAAATCTATAAGAGACGTATTCCGATCCAAAGCAATTTTTTGCTGTAAACTAATGTTTTATTCAATTATATGTTTATATAGATTAGATTTCTTGCACCAGAGTATAAAAATATAAATATGAGTTTTTCTCTCTCTCTCTCTCTCTCTCTCTCTCTCTCCCCCCACTTATATGTGCATTCGATGTGATTAACAAAATTTTATAAAATTTACATTAAAACATTTTTACATTAAAATATTTTAGTGCAAAGAGTTAAAAAGTTAACTCGGTTGTGGAGCATTCGCCTAAAACGTACAAATGTTAACGCGGACAATAAATAGAATTTCATTTCTTTGAATATATTAGCAAAAATAAGCAGAGAGATAACTGCATTAGCAATTGTTAAGCAACTAATTAAATAACAATAATAGCAGTCCTCAATTAAGCAATGACGAAAGTTGTCATTGATTAATTAATGGCGAAAGATAAATCATATCTTAACATCATATCATTTGTTACAATGCACATAGTTTTTTAACTTATACTCGCTCGATCTTCCCCAAAAGGAAAAGACTTTGTTAGAAATAGAAAAATGCGTTTTATAATGTATTCTAGAAATGTTGATATTATTTATATGAATTGAAGATTATTTCTTTATCTTTTAGTGAATGCTACTGTATTTTTTGACTGGTTATCTTCCATTATTTTCCATCTGACATCTCTAAATTCTAATGTTTTAATTTTTAAAATACAATCGACAATCTCAAATTTAATTTTATTAATATCTATTTTACCAATGTAGATTAATTTTAATCTTTCGATTTAAATTACTTTTTATCTTTCAATTGTAAAAATTAAAAGAAGCTAAAGAGTAAATTAAATCAAGATTAAAGTTAATTCATTATTGGTAGAAATAGACATAAAAGAGTAAATTTAAAAAAATATTAAGAGGAGAAAATGTTGCAGCAGTTTATTGTTGTCATGGCTGCTATAATTGGAGCTACAAAAAGAATGATCTATCCTATTGCACTTTTGTTAATCATATATTGTCGATGTAGCTTGCGCAATAACAACAATACACCGATGGCGGACGGTAGTAATTATTATTACATATAATTGCGACGATTGCGATACATATATACAATAATATTGCGTATACGTAAAACTGTACATATATATATATATATACATATACATGAATATATTGTTGTCAGTTGAATGTTAAAATAAATACCTTGAGTGGATTCAGATCTCTCTTCACTAGATATTTGAGAAATTATATATAAAAAAGTAATTGAAATTACTTTCCTCTAGCATGCAATATTATAGTAAAAACGTGAGATTTCGGTGATAAAATAAATAATTTATTATTTATGGTAAAACAGAGAATTACAGATGCTACATAACGCTTACTATATTTTTCTTTGAGCCACTATTAGCGTTTTCTCTTGGCTGCACTATCGCCCACTAGTGCAACACTCAGATAGTGTACCGTGTTTCCGTGACTACGGTGTAGTGTAAATTCTATGCACAAAGGATTTTGCTACACCGTCTCAAAGGGACGGTGTAGAGCCAGTGTAACATTTAAAATTTGAAAATGGAAGTCAAGCGGGAATAGGGTATTAGCTCAATAGTGAAGGTTAGGTGTGCACCACTCTAATGTAGTGTAACTGAGTGTAGTGTTTACACGCAACTGGTGCGGTGTGAGGCTGCACCCAGTGTATCCCAAGGGAAAACGCTATATTATGTATTGGAATTTTCACTCAACTCTTGAGCTTTCGTTTAACTCCTTAAAATTTCAATTTCACGTTTTTATTGTACACAATCATTACGAAAATTTTGTCTTTGTAAATCAGAGATTACTGATCGAAAGATAAATTAATAAATTCTATATATATAATTAATAATAATAATTGTATATATGTAGCACTTATAGAATTATATACATATATAACCTGTACGTGTTTACATGATCCTTATCATCGTTAACTATTTACTAGTATACTTACATTCAATAACAATATCTTCCACGTCTCATATGGCGTGTAAAAATATTTTACGGTAACAAGATACTTAGTCCTTTACATGTACAGTCTATTTTACATTTTCTCTTGAGATTTTTCTTTTAGACGTATCAACCTCTAAATCTCTTCAATCAAAACATGCATTTTCTTTCTCTGTTAAAAATCGCCACCACCTTAACTTAAACCTATGGCAGTAAGCTACATATCGGCATTAGTAATGCAAGGCCCATTCATTATCCTGCAGGAAGGTATCAACTACTTCTTTCATCGCCAAGTTCGGGATTAGCTGATCTTGCGTCAAACGTACTCGCGTGACCGGATCAAAGTGGCCAACTCGTTGGAGATGCTCCTCGATGTCCTTCCGTTCGTATGTAATTCCACTAGGCGTAATTACTGGTTCCTGCAGGATTTCGAAGCTAATCTTGCCGCACAAGTAATCCGGTACCTCTCTTTTCTACAAAAGATTTATTTGTATTAATATAAGATTTGTTGGCGAAACAGAAAAAAGTTTTCCCTGATTTTTCTCTGATTAAAACCTGAAAGGAGTATTGAATAAAAATAAAGACAAAATGTAATTTTTTATTAATTAGAAATGAAAAGTGTAATAAAAAATTATAATGGAACATGACAAAATAAAATTAAACTTTTATCATATTTTTTAAAGCATTTTTAAATAAAAAAAAACTTCAATCTTGCACTCTTAAGAGGTGTATTAATTTTTTAAATCTATTTCTGCATTTCTTCTTAAATTCTTGTTAGAGATATAATTTTAAGTTTCTTGATTTTTAATTTATTTAATTTATTTCATCAAATCTGTTTTGCTCTTATTAAGAATAATTTTCTCAAATATTATGAAATATATTATGAAAATAATATATATTATTTTCTAAAATAATATATATTATGTTCTAATTATCATCTTAATTAGAAAGTTTTTATCTTAATGGAATATAATTTTGAAGCATCTCTCGCAGTAAATTCTTTAAAAAATGCAAGATTACTGAAGCATTGTAAATATTTTGTATAATTTTTTTACAATTGCTATGAGTGATTTGCGAAACGTCACTAATAAATATTTTAGTTTTTAAAAATCTTCAATTTTTACATATATTTTGACATGTTTAGAGAGTATTTGTAAAGTTGTATATTTATAATAAATTGTCATACAATTGTATATAATATTGTAGCGGGACACGAATGACCTAAAGGTGTGTATTAAGGGTTAACTATGTCTGCGCTAACGGCTTTTTACGAAATGCTTTTATTCTCTTTAAAATTGAAAAATTATAAAAAATATTTACAATTTGTTTTCTTAAATAATTAAAAAAATTTTATTTAATAATTTAAAAAAAATAAAATTTAGAAATAGTATTACAGTGATTTAATTTTATCTAAGATAATAAATTTCTTATTTCTCTGACTTTTCCTTGATCACTAATATCCTGTAATAGGATTAATATAGAATTGTATTATTGTACTGATATGTATTGTACCAGAATTTTGTAGCCTTTGTGGCCATAAATATAAACTATAAAGCATCCTCAATTTATTGTATTTATTGGAAAAGGTGGTAATAAAAGCCAAAGGAAAATTAATAAAATATTAGAATATTTTATTAATGCTATAAATTTAATCACAATTTTATACAAATAAATAAAATTTTTATTCTCAATAAAACTGTTTATAATTTATTTATTTTTATTAGATTATTTATTTTTTTATTAGATATAGAATGTTTGCGTCCATTTATGGAGGTGTTCTATATATACTTAATAATCAAGGTTGTATTAACAAAATCGTGGAATATGAAAGCAAATGAATTGTTCTAAAAAAATAACAGAGATACGAACCCGCCTTCTCTCGTCGATTTTGGCAAAGAGATCATTAAGTCTCGATATACAGGTATCTCTCTTCTCTTCGATCTCTTCTTTTCTCCTAGCGAATTCTGCTGAGTTTGTTTCAACATTAGAATCCTTTGACGTTTCTTGTTTTTGCAGAGTTGCCAAGTTACGCTTTGCATCATCTATGATCAGCTGATTCAGATAAGTTTGCAGCTCAATATCTTGGGAAATTCTTTGTTCCTCTCTTACTTGGAATCGACGCTTTTTGGCTTGACGCAATACACTAGTGATATCGTCACCATAGTTCAGCTTCTGTTCTTTTGCCAAGTCTACAGCTATGTTGTTCGAAATAAGTATAATCCTGTATTATAAATCTACTTTACAATTGAAAAAAAGGGAATATAAGTTTGTCTCGCTATATTTACCTCTTTGCAGATATTTGACAGCTTCATCAAAAAGTTCCAATTCCAATAGGGCGAGTCCAAGGAAGAAGTGACCCTTCATCAAACAAGGATCTATATCCAACGCCCATCTGCAATCCTTGCACACGGATTCCCATCGTTTCAGCTTCAAATGACACAGCGCCCGATTTGTGTAATACAATGCCTGGCCTGGATTCTTCATCTCAAATAAAGTAAAAAAAAAATATTAATACAAATAAGCGAACATTTGGCGAAGGTAAGCCACATTTGGTCAAGGCAGATTAACTATTGGTGCTTAATATTTTTGCACGATTTTTACAATTTCTAGGTGTAATCAGAAAATATTAGTAATAAATAAAGAGGATTGCTCCTGCAGAAGTAAAATCACTCTTTTTTCATTTGTGTGTGTACGATGTTGTTTTGTCCAGAGTGGTAGAACTAAACCAATTAGACCATGGTCCAGAAAAGTTATTTTATAAGTTACTTTTTAAGTTACCTTACATGTGTTTGATATAAAAATTCTGTACAAAAAGTAATACAAAATTGGAGTAAATAACATATAATATAAAAAATATAAAGCATCCTTACTTATTATATTCAATTTCTATGATAAAAGGTAACTTATAAGTAATTTGTAAAGTAACCTTATTCCTATCTCTGGTTTTTATCCTATTTTTGCCGCATGTACTCAAACTAGAGATAAAAATTACCGTGTAAAAAATTGGAAACTTTAAATTAAAAATTTAATAAAAATAAATTTTTTACTCGGATATGTATTTTCCTTAGATATTTGATATTTGATAGAATTCATGAATTTTCGCATTTATCAAAAAGATTTCTGTTTACAGATAACTGTAAATAGCGCAACGTAAACAATCAATCAAAATGTAGTACGGCTGCTATATGGCTAAGGCTGCGTTCGATTTTAGTGTTTTTAGCATTTTTATCTTTGTTTTACATCTAATCAATTTAATGAACAATAGAAACAGAATGATAATAGGCCCATTCTTTTTAGCTGAAAACAAACTTCTTCCATGGTATATATATATTTCTTATCTCTATTTTTTTCTATGGAGAAAAAAGGAAAAAATGAACTGTGTCAAAAGTTCAGTAAAAAGAACAAGTTTCATAAGCATTTAAAGCGCTTGAGCGACCAAACTGAACAGTTTAAAATGACGGTGGCCATAGATATACAATACCTATAAAATTTCGAATATAATGGGTGCATCCAGAAGTATATCGCTCACTGAGCGCTCATAATCTGCATCAGCAGAGAAAGCAGCTTTGCAACTGTTATAAAATTCTTTAACATGATTGGTTTATACATTTAGATTTAGATTAGTGATGAGCTAAAGGCAAGACCAATCAATATTAAAGAATATTACGACGCAGTTGCAAAACTACTTTCTCTACTGAATGCAGTCATTATCAACTCATTAGGCATCGTAACAACGTAAAGACTCGATATTTAAAGTTATAAAAACAAGAAACATTAAATAATATTAAATTAAAGTATATGTATATTAAGAGTTTTTTAAATGATATTAAGAAAAATGCATTATATCTTTTTTCATGATTTTGATAAAAAGTTTTCTATTGTACTCTTACAATAGAACTGTAACTTACAATTTGTAAGAAGCCGATTTTTTACTCGGTCCTTTTGTTTCAAAGTAAAAAAAAATTTTGTTTTCATCTTTAATTAAACGAACGAATTTAAATCACCCTCGCTTTTGTCAAATTCTAGTTTGAACGCCAGGCGCTAGGGGCACCATCGTGGCTCGTGCCTGTTATCATTGGCACACTGCGTGATTCGTGATTCAAAACAAAAAATATCTTGCTGTAATACAACCGCAGCGAGAACGAGTAAGTGCACGAAGGTGCGCGACACAATTCAAAGTCACGGTTCACGTGATCGTGCGACATTGAGCGCGCGCCAGAAATGTCACGATACTTACGATCGCCTTTGTGTAGCAACTGGCTGCATCTTCATATTTGTGTAGATCGAAAAGACGGTTCCCCTGTTCCTTCAACTCCTTGTCGGACAGATTCGCCGTCGAATACATTTTACTCATGATGGCAGCTCGTGGTCACGTTGCATGCACGAAAATCAATCAATCTTTTATATTTTTCTTTTACGATTGAAAACGTACGAATGCGAAAATGACTGCAATACCCTTTGTCTAACCTCAAACGGACGCTCGGTATCTCATCTTTGTTCTGTCCGCACACAGCCTTCGTTTGACTCGACGCGACTGTATATAAAAAGTAGAATCTACAATTCGATACCGCTACCATCTTGAGAAATATTTAGAAACACAAAAAGGAGAGAAACCTGCCTTACTAACAGTAGGCATGAGTTCATTATTGCGAAACTTGTTTTTACCTACGACATCGATAAGACAGATTTTTGGGGATCCTTAAGGGGATGCTGGAGCCGCATGTATTACCGATAAAACTAGCGTTTTTGATGTTTTTGTTCCTGTCGAATTTCTTCGTGTAATAGTTTCACAGAATAAAACAATTTCTTTTTCACGATTAAAATGTACACGCTGATGTATTTGTCGCCGGTGTATTTTGTGTTCGAAGCTAGAGAAAAAATAAAAAAATACAAATTTCTTTAATCATTTTACCTTCAGCGTTGGTCGTCATACTGAGATAGAAATGGATAAAGAAATCTGTAATTTTTTATTTTTTTCCCTCCATTTGGCAGTGTGTTATATGCAAATGAACATTAGAAATTGTAATTTAGAAAACAAATGACACAAAAATATATTCGCTTATATTTTTGCACTTGATATTTATATAATATTGATAACAATTATTAGTTTTATTATTGTCGTTCGGTCGTTCGGTCTGTATGTATAATATGATCACAATATTACTTTTTGGAAAGAAAAATGCAAGTTATTCTTCTAACCATTTTTCAATTATTCGTATTTTTTCTCTATATACATACAGACTACAAAGATTGTATGTAGGAGAAAGTTGCCGAATGCGTGCCACTTAACC